CTAAGAGGCGGCGCCGTGCGTTGACGCTTCACCATTCACTTTGAATGGGGTGACGTCACTTTTCGCCGAACTGCATCGTGGGAAGCAACGCGGAGCGTTGCTGGCGTGGCTCGCTACAAAAGTTGAGCAGTGTTCAACTTTTGACGCCTCGGCAGAAGCGTCAGCCAATCGAATCATATGCCAGTACAAGCTCTAGCCAATCAAATCGCTGCTTGTGTGTCAGGGGCGGGAGATTCATGTGATTGGTTGTTGGTCGAGTTTCAGACACGCCCGCCGGCAAGCATCAACGCACGCCGCTGTGTGGACGGGCCGTAATGATCAAAAGGATGCAAATATTAGATATATAGTACGGTATTCATATTTTGCAAGTGTACAACATTTGTAAATACAATATATGTGCACAAGTCTTGGTAACAATTTATATTTTAAAACGAACATAGCGTTTCCCAGAACAGCCTCTCAGAGCCAGTTCACATTTGGTTGTTTGTTTGGAAAATCTCAGAAACGTTGGCTCCCCACAGTGATGAGGAAACGTTTGAGTTGATTTGAAAAGTAACTTTAAAACAACGTTTTAATATTCTAAGTAAGCTACAAAAGCGAAAATTATTCTGAGTGTTTCCAATACTTTTATAGTTTGCAGCATGGCCCTACTTTATAATATTCAAAATAATTGAAGCACTAAGTATTTATAAAATCTGCTCTATCTCCCAGAGTTGTTTATGAAAATATGTGAAGCTGTAGGGTGCCGAGGGACTCAGCAGCAGTTGGACTAAGCTTCTACCCCACACAATAAGTAACATTGAGGAGAGCATTTTTAGAGTTTCAGAGCGGCAGCTAGAGAGTGTGATATTGTAATATTTGAGAGCTTTCTGCTCAGCGTGGCCCATGTCGAAGAACTGAGAGGAACCTGAGGCTGTGTAACAGTTATGTCTATTCAGCACTTCACCAGAGGCATGCATGTACACACACATGCACCTTAGTTCTTTGCACATCATTCATTGCACGTACATCCAGTCACACAAACATTCCTCTGTGCACACTACTTATATGCACAAACACACCCAGCCTCTGAAGGGAAGTGGAGATCAGTAACGCAGCACCTGCTGGGGGCCAATTTAGAGAGCGAGCTAAGTAGGAAAGAGGATAACGTGTCAAATGCAACACTTACAGCTGGGGCCACCTACCCTTTTAAATCTTACATTGTTCTGGTGATCCATGCTCTTTTATGGTTTATGTAGCGGGCCGCTGCTGCTGCTGCTGCTGCTGACCACGCACACACAGACTATCTGTGACTGCTCAATGCCAAGATCATTTGCGAACGTATGGGACCAATACTGCTGATGGTGAGGTTATGTTAAATCCTATAGACGCATGCAGTTATTTTTGTTTTATGAAACAGCCTCCATGCGGGTCTGTATGAGGCCTTAAGCTTGTGGTATGCTTAAACCTAGCACCTGAGCGCACAATCATTTTCATCGCTTAAAGTAATACTCTCATCTGCTTATCAGTGTGGGTCACACATGACCCCTCAGCTGATCTGGCTTGAGCTCAGCTTGGACAGAGCCTGCCATTGAACCGCAGAAAATGTCATTTAAAGTTATGAACATTTCTGAGTGTAAATAATAATGTGTATGAACTAATCTTTGTGATCCATTGCCTGTGATAACATTCTCTCATGAACAGAGGGGGGTCAAATAATTGTTGAACACATGCACAGTAAAGCATGGGTCTTCTATATTAACAATCTTTAGATAAGTGTCTTCGACAAAGTAAACTGACAGCTGGTGCAGTTCATTACAGTCCCAGATTGTGCAAAAGAGAAATGACTTTATCTCTGTTCTTTACCTGGTGTTGTTTCTAATTATACATGCAGATGGTTTGTGACATTTACAAACACTTTCTATGACACAAAATTATATGATAACTTTGGAGACTTTGCTTTTGAGCAGATTAGAGCATGCTTAGTCTTGAAGTTAAATACTGTTTATAATCGACAACAAAATAAAATCATGGGAATTTGGGTGGATGTGCAAGTTGGTTGTGTGTTTTCAGTGTACTACAAATAAGCTTTTATTTCTGGAGGGGACCCTTAAAAAGGAAAGAAGCACTCCAAGAGAGTAATGTTAGCATTTTTTTTGAGGAACTATGACTAATATCTTTGTTGTTTATAAATATGCAAGACTGTAACAAGATAAAGTCCCTCCCCCTGACACATGTACTTTTGAAGTCCATGTAAATATCTTGGCAAATAACTAAAGCATGGTAGACTTACACAACAATGCGGCGATTAAGGAACCAGTATTTGCGGTTGTGTCGATCGTATCCGACTGGTAGTTGTCGGATGAACGGTTTGCTCTTCTGCACTTCTGGGATGCAGTCCGCCACACCGGGTACCTTGTGTGCCACACACACCTCACATTGCCACTCATCCTCAGGCACTTCCAGCAAAGGCGGCTTCACACACTCCAGATGGTAAACGGCTGAACATGTCTCACAGCACAGCAGGTCACCAAGGCGGTGGCATACTCTGCAGTGGTCGTCGTAGGCAACCACACCTTCCGACATTAGCTCCTCTCGGGCAATGTTGGTGGCCAAAAACTGGTCCACCAAAAACTGCAGGACTTTGATTTTGCTCTCTAACGGTTCATACGGGTAATCCTCAGTCTCCTGGAGAGGCAGAATGTGCCGGTACTCCGGGTCGCTCTCACAGTACGCCCGCACCACCTCCGGCCAGGTCATACCATCCACAAAATACAGAGTGGAGTTGACAGAGTCCTTTACGTCGGTGGGACCAAAAGTGGTGTTGGAAGTGTCCTCCTCTCTGAGAATAGCTTTGAGCAGGGAGATGTGCATCTCTGCCAGCAGTGTGCACTGCTCCTGGCTGGCCACCGCTGCACAGAAATCCTCAAAGCGGAAAGGGGAGAGGCGCAGCACAGAGCCAAAGTTGCGGAGGACTTCGTAGACAGCGGACACATTGAGGAGCTGTGAGGTAGGAACCTGGAGGTCCTCAGAGGACTTAGGAAGGTCCAGGGGAGGAATGTCCTTCGCCTCAAAGATGGGAGACTGCGGTTGCAATGCCCGACTCCTTCTCCGGCCTGCAAGAAGTGAAAGGAAAAGAGTTATGGGTGAGAAGAATAATGGCAGAAAATAAAATGAAGAGCTGTGTTGGTTTGCATCAACACAAAATAATTAAACCGGGTAAGTCTGTTAACGATAGGCCAATTCAACTTAACGCTTGAACTTATTAGCATCCATGATGCCCTGTTATAATGCACTCTCGGACTGATTTTACACTTGTACGGGAGGATACCAATCAAAAGCTCCAGGATGTTTCTTTTAAAGCGTGATACAGAAAAGTCAAATTACAAAAAGGTAGACAAGCACCTTCTTCTTCTTTTTGCTATCGTGTAATGGTGCCAATGGGGCAGCTGATGTATCATACCTGATCCTTCCCTCTGGTGTCAGTGTACGTTACACTATTCTGAAAACACTAATAAGAAGTGAGTTTACATTTGTATTTGAGTGGGTATACTGGGGTTTAAGTTTGCTGGTTCATTATACAGCATCAAACACATGGATCTTGTGCAAGAGTGGTATGTGTGCAGGTTTGCATAATAGCATAGAAATGAGTATCTGCCTGTGCATTGCAGTAGATGCACCAAATTGCCTAAAGACCATTGGGTTTACGAAAGACCCCTCACACTCGGCTGCACAATGCTAGATGTTGCCATGTTAACGTCTTTAAAAAAAAGCAGTTTGAATGGCCAGTGGAAGTTGAGAGGCATGTGATTAATCCTTGAACTACTTAAATGGCATCTAAGCCTGCACAGAGTGTAGTGAAGTGTTAAAGGTTGACAAATCAAGAGATGGAATCTACAGTCAGGTGTTTCCTTCCAAAAAACATTTAAAGAAAATGAAAGAAATGGCAAAGTCTGATGCTACAGAGATGGCAAAATTGTGAGCTTTACTGTAGAATAGATATTGAAATATTCGAAAGTCCCATGTCTGCATGACCCTTTAATATTTCTACTAATCATATGTAAAATGATTTCCATGTGATTGCACAGAGCTTTGAAAGCAATGCTTTACAAAGTTTACATAATACACTTGATGTCAAATGATTTTTGCATACACCACTTTATTAGCAGTATTGTCCATAATTGGGGCCATGGTAGCTCTAATTTGCTCACCTGATAAACGAAGCGGTTGCCATGGTAACGGTAGACCACTAATAATGTTGGTGTTTGCAACAAGTGAAAAAAAGGCGCCTCTCTTCAAAACAAAGCCCTGAAAAAGCCATTAAGCAGCATTATGCAAAAACAACGTGATCTAAAATAGAATTATAAAAAAGGTACAATTGTGTAATGATAATGCATAAATAAAATACCTTCATTTATAAAACCACTATCATTTAGTAATAAACAGTCTAAAGAAAAAAGACAGCTATGAACTGTCAATCCGAGGCCAATAGTTAACTATGTTAAAAATACACGTGTGTTGATCAAGTCTAAATAGTAGAAACTGTATTTATTGTACTGTGCCAACACAGGTACAAATGTTAAATTAATGACATGATGGGAAGATAAAATAAAGTCTAAAATAAAATGACGTTCCCAATGTGCTCTAAAACACTAAAAAATACAGCGCGCATGAAAAGGTCCCGTTAAAAACAAAACACGAATAAATTATTCATAATGAAATGACAACAAAAATGTGCTGATCCTACAAAAAGTCAAAAACACGAGAGCCGGTTGGAGCGTGGATCAGATCTGCAAACCAGTGGCAAGCAGAGCACACGGTAAACAAAGGCCTGTTTCTGAGTGCAAGCTCCATTTTGAACAATGCGGCTTGCTTTCTGTACTGAGCCATAATATAATAAAATGCACACTCTAAGTTGTGCAAATATGCTGTGCTAGAGTGCGTGCACTTGCAAACCCACGTACCTGGGGTGCTACCGAGCGTGCTGTGGCTCTTAAAACTACTCTCCGTACAGTAGCTGGCATCATCCTCATCTGGTAGTTCCTCCAGATAGTCAGACTCGTTTCCCAAGGCCTCCTCTTCTTCAAGATCCGACGAAGGGTTGTCGTTAAGGAGTTCATCGTCGTCTGACCTGTAGCTTATATTATCATCCTCTTCGTCGCTGTTGTCGTCGTAGACCACCTTGGTTTGAGGCCGCCTCACCCCTCCTCTGCTGCCGCGGCCGCCTCTCGACCCCCTGCCTCTGCTTCTGCCTCCTCTGCCCCGCGACGCCGCGGACACCGCCGCTGTGGAGCCTCCAACTTTCCTGCGGCCCCGGGACGAATGAAAGTTCTCTCGGCCGGAGATGTCTGTATCTACCTCCGCAGAGCCAGTCATACAAACGCCAGCAATGCCACCCCGTCCCCGGCCGCGTCCTCTGCCTCTTCCCCGTCCCCGCATCCCTCTACTCCTGCTGCCCCGAGAGCCGCGGACTGGCCCGGGTGAACCCTCCCGCATCACGGCTGCTTGTTTGGGCGGCCTTCCTCTTCTCCCCCTCATTGTGGGAGAGAATCTGTTCTGTTCCGCTTCAATCTCGCTGCTCGGGTGAGCCACGCACAACGGAGAAAAGCGGGGGAGAAAGAAACCAACGGGTCTGGTGACGGTTCCCGATAAGTCTCCACCAAGCCCCGGTCTCAATTTAAGAGCAGAAAGCTCAAACTGAATGGCCGGTGTCCCGCTCTGGGTCGCCTGCAGACGCCATTTTTCTACTCAGCTCTCCCTCCGTTGAAAACACAGCAGGCCTCAGCCTCAGAGCTGCGTGAAGCAAACCGCGAATACCAGTGGCTGTACCGGAAGTTGAGCGCCATGCCCTTCAAAGTAAAATAATATTGAAAACGAAAAAATACTAATTATGAGTAAATACCGTTGTGTACAGAACAAAGCATACATATCAACCAATATTAAATTAAATATTTGTGTCAAATGCCATTGGTTATATATAAAAAAGTCCAACTCCAAACGCATTTGTTTTAACGACTTAACTGTCACAACTCGGAAAGTCCGTGTTTTTTCTTGTAACTTCACACAAACAGGTTTGAGTGAATGCAAGATCACGTGACTCACTATTCTACAATAGATGCAAATGCCGTCCTAGTTCATAAAATCAGTTATCCATGCACAGGGTTTATGCCAATTGCACTTAATTAGCGTTGACTGGTTCTGGTGGGCGGTTTAGACACATGTGGGTGCAGCGCATACAGTGAAACACAAGCTCTAATTTTCCGCCATTTCGCCATCGTCGTCACAGCAAAACAAGGCGAGAAGATATAAGCATCCGACATTGTGCTCGTTTACATGAACCCAAACAAGTCGTTAAAAAGTTAACAGCACACATAGTTTTATGTCAAAATGCATGCAAAAGTGTGAAACAGCTGTGCATATCTTCTTTCAAAAAATGGCACGTTATGTAACTTCTTTCGTTTAGTTCAGCCAGTTCATTTAACTGTAATCTAGGAACGATGCTGAGCTCCAGTTGAACACACGCACTGATGATGATCATGATGTATAGCCTACATGTAAAATGTAACTTTTGCCGCCATAATATCTTAGTTAGCAGAGATGTAAAATCGTGAGGAAGTCAACAAGTTTACTGAACATTCTGCTTTATTTTCGAAGACAATTTGACTTAAACTGTACACGACCCAAGTTCCTAATGCATAACACTTGCAGCCTACTAGCATGATAATTACACGAACCAATATAAGGATGATTCTGGCAAACTATATTAATGCATAGTTCATATTTTGTCAGATCTAGAGGACTGACATGCTTTGTAGGCTAATCCAGTTGTGTGGTTAAAGCGGTGGATTGATTTCCAATGAGGTTTGTTTGACAGCTCAGTTTCAAATCACGACCACATGTTTACACTTTGTTTACTATGATCAATAAGTAAATGTAGCCCTTAAGAAGAGGCGGTTACTATATCTCGTATGATTGGCATAAAAGATACAGTGGGCTAATTGCACATGTATGTTGTTAGAATTTATTAAAAAAATAATAGTCTTTCTAATATCGGAAAGATCTGATCTGATAAAAGTTTTGAACTGATGACACGTCCAATACAATTAAATACAATTAATACACCGAAGACTACTTTGTTGAAGTAGATCGATTGAGCTTTGTTGACATATCGCGATACACAGTCGAATAGCATCATCGTCGCCTCTCAGGTGAGCGCTAATTGAGCAGACTGCTCCACCACCCGATACAGTTTTACCCATGATCAGCACTTTGCAGAGTGAATATTATATATTCTCAAGTCTTTGAAGATGTTTACGTTTCAAACTGTAACATATTGGTCTTTTCTCTTATTAAAGTGTACAAAACATGTGAAAGAACATCAACTAGATGAGTTCAATCATTAACCTTCCTTACCTGAATGCTATTCACATGGCAACAAAACCTGATAAATAATGTTGATCATTCTGATGTTCATAGCAAATTAGTTTCAAAATGTCTTCTGTTTGAATGTGGTAATGAATATTGCCTTAGATGACAGGTTCTCAAATGGACCGATAAAAGCTCGCCCTAACTAAACTTAACTGATTGATATTTTTTTCACAACTTAGATTAGTAGATTTGTTGTTTAGAAATTACCCAAATGACACATAACAACATTTGTCAAAATAACATTCCTTCCTGTAATTAAACCCCCAAGACCTGTATGTGGACTTTTTGTTTCTGCCTTTTTTAGCAGAAGGTGCTGAGTGCAGCTGCCAGGTTGGCTAAGCTGCCCATTTTTATCAAGCTTTCAGTCTTGTTCACTAAAGGCAGCACCCCAACCTGAAGTCTGTGTGTGTGGAGCTGGAGAGAAGTGTGACTGCTGTGGTTTCACCTGTCATTGTTAAACTGGAGCCTCAGAGTGAGTATACCGTCCGTACTATCTATCTACTTTATGTACTTATACTTTATTATATATATTGCTCATATACCTTGAATGAGGTTGTAAGTCATAATGGAAAGGAGACTGACAGTTATCTTCCATTTCAGTTGCAGTAACAATTATTATCATTTTCGTTAAACAAGTTCTAGTTCTAGTTAAAGGCTGTTGAATAATTTATTGATTGGCTATAATAATTGTTTTACATCTAATATACCTAAAAGGTTGATGTGGGCTCTACCACAGGGCACTTTTCCACAATATGGGGCCCTAGCAGAATAAATAAGGAGGACAGAATGCTCAAGAAAATATTTGATCATCTTTGATAAATAACTTATTAAATGAAATCATTAGTAAACACAAAATGGTGTTTAAGTTCAACAGGCCTATTACTACTGACAAGGTAACATTTCCGCTCCTTGCAAATTCATACAGTTAAAAAAGGTTTACGTATGAACCGATATTTATAAATGAACAAATAATGTATATTTACTTTATAATATCTTTTAAGGTGGAGGTTTGAAGAAAAATATAATGCCGACATTTCAGTTATAAGGTCAACATCTCCTGAAGACTATTAAAGAAACTTTTCAGTAACAGCTTCATTGTCTGGAATATTTCCACAGTTTCCATTGCTAATGATGTTGCATGTAGAAGTCTTGACTGGCTGGAGACAGCTTTCCCAGTGCTGCACACACCCACTGAGCAGGTTACCTCTTCCTTATACTCTTACAAATCTTAATGAGCACCACAAATTCTCATACAAAAAAGACACCAGAAGCTACAGACAACAGTCTCTTTTGTTTTTTTCTGTCTCACTCAGGTTGTTACCACTGCCATGAACAAGATGCATGAGACCCTGGATGTGGTGCAGCTAATGGGACTATGGACATGTGTGGATCACACGGTGGCCTGGCTGAGGGGCGGGACACAGCAGGCTGACGGACAGGCGGACCAGTCCCCTGTGAAGAAAGCCATCAGCGTGGCACTGGACTCCGCTCGGATGATATCCGAGGCTCTGGTGGACCGAGTGCTTCCTCCCACTGATGAAGATAAAGGCATAGCCGTGGGAACATGTTTCAAATGGGGGGTGCTGTGGGGATGACACCAGGGCTGGTTCTGACCAATGTGCTGCCCAATAGGCAAGATTTTAGCTGGCAATGAAAAACCTCTACAAAAGACCAATACACTACAAAAAGAGAAACATATTGACATGGTGGACAGCTTATATAACAATTGGCTTCAAATTGATTATATATTATAACATGTTTTAATTGGGGGGTGGACTTTACATCCTCTAGGGGCCCCCGGGAAGATTTTTTTAACATTTTAAAGTCAAATGCTTCAATCTGGTGCACTTTGAGCGCCCAATTACTAGACGGATCTAGAGGGTACAACAGATCGGTTTGCATTTTATTAATCAAATAAGTATGTGAACATTTCCAATAACCTACCATAGCCAATAACAAATAAATGTAACTTATTTTATTTGT